TATATACACTATATAAATATATATCTAAATATATATTATCTTATATCACTTTATATCAAATCATGTACCATGGGTGTATCATCATATCATATATTATGATATAAAATATAGGCCCATCATAATTATATCACAGGTCTACCTTTATCGTTCATCATCATATTATATTATTTCACATCCACATCATCATTTAATGTTTACAGGTATATCACATCACATGTCATACCGTACCTCATATCAGAATCATGCGTCATATCATGTATCATTTGTCACAAATTAATAGTGCAATAGTCAGTTTAGTAGATACAGAAAGATTGTCTCATAGACGAAATGAGGTAAGCGGCTGATAGAATTCTCAAGTGAAATACAAACTTAATATATATGACTCATTCGCATTCACTTCAATAATAATGTATACGTAATTGTGTGCTATTTAAAACATAACCATAAGAATATAGGCCTACGTATTTATTAGTGTATCTTCGCAGCGATGTACTAATGGGCATATATTATGTTTTATGGAAATTATCCAGACTAGCAAATTTCTTTAACTTCATCGTCATACACCACCAGACGTAGCTTTCAAATGCAAGAAAACCGCAACAAGATCTCAGGGGTGATATCAGTAGTGGGCGCCTCAAAGACCAACATTCTAGGGCCATAGGGCGACCGCCCTGATGGCATAATTTATATTCACCGCAGTGTTGTATTTTAAGGGCTGCTTGCTGGTCCCATTTTTAGCAATAGAAAAAATTAGAATTTTGAGGTCTGAGATACCATTATATACACCCAGATTTAAGGCAATATAAAGATACAATAGATATTTTAATTAAACGATATATTGCAATGCGATTCTTGTTTATTCAAGTCAACAAATTTATTAAAATTTTGACTTAGGCCTATCTACATTTTATAGTTCGTCCCTTGGGTTGCCATTAATTTGCAATTGAGTTAGAGATGTTTATGAATGCATCCTACCCAAGTATAGGACACAACACATTCTGACACGCTTCACTGAATCATAATTAACATGACAATCATTATGAAATTCAAGAAACCGTCATATTTTACTGAGCAATCTCACTGAGAAGCAAGCCGCCTAGGTGGCATAATTTCAGCTTACAGGATACAGTAATAACTGCATGTTTCTACTACAGTTATGCTTTTGCTGGAAGCTCTATTTATACAGTTAACCTACTTGAAGGTAAACTATCCGGGAGGATGCTGAACATCTGGTGTATCAGACGTTCTGCATAATTGTTAATGTATACTAGTAATATCGTTAAGCATCCGGTCACTGCTACAACCAGCAGATTGAATAAAATTAAAATATATACTGATAAAAACAAGGTGACTGATTTACAAGCAATTATTGTCAATTTGTATTAAATGCTATAGAAGATAGAAGCCTTATTGGCCATTATTTCATTCATATATTGCCTTCAGCCCCGTGCAAGCCTTCGAGCATTTTTTTTCTTGGCTGATTCGTTACCGTAAAAATTATGATTGAAAATCCTTGCTCATTATTCATTTCGGTGTGTTAGCATAGGCTACTAATAGAGGACTGGATCAATATTATTAAGCATAGGCATTGAGAAATTTGCTTTTGTTTTCCCCAAGCTCTAGATTTATTGGATTATCCGACTTGAAATAAGAAAATTCGAAAGAATGCTGGATGGAAAAAAATAGTTTGTTATATTGTCATTTGCATGTAGAATCTAGAACAATTAGTTCAATAACATTGTACACTTCACACGTATTGAATAACATACGAGTCGCCTATAGCTAGTTACGGTTCTTTTTCACTTAACAAATTACTACATGTATTATTATTATTCTGATTAAAGTAACTTAATTATGCCGCCTATTAATTCTATTTTATTCAATTCGGCAAAATACGTAAGTACAAAATCTAAACAGACATCAAGAGAAAAAAATATGCTAATTAGAATTGCCGAAAGTTCGACAATGAAACATTTTGAATATTAGCGTTTTCTTGAATAAATAAGATGATGAAAAGCAACTTTTGAAAGTGTCAATCACATATTGGAAACGCCCCATCTGGATCACCTTAGTTTGACCAAATTTTAGGTAAGGAAATCCAATACGTGTTCAGCATTCACGAATAATACGAGCTCTATTTCTGGACAAGCTGTAGAGGTTTCGTAATTATTCCATCTTATACCTGTCGGTCACACGTCCTCACTAGAAATAAATTATGAAGTTTACTCTAGGCTATTCAGATTATTTTTATATCCATTAAATTCCAAATATCTTGTTTTCAGGCAGGCCTATAACCTATATTGCATTTATAAAGACAGAGCAGCAGAAATTATTTTGTTTTTCTTGAGATCAATGGCACTGTGCGTTAGCTTTTGATTCTGCTTATTTTTGGCTCGATAAAGAGAATATTCAAAGCAGTAAACATCACTCTCTCCATCTAAAGTAGGTCTTTGTTAAATGAGATTATTCCGCGGGATTAGTGTATTGCAAGGTCAAATAATCCAAAGTAGGATTGATTTAGAATTAGAAAATTACTACCGTCTTTGGAAGCTAACGAAACCAATTTAATGTCACACGCGTGTAGTTTATACATCATAATTAATTTGTTTTCCTCCAAAGACTCTGAAATTCAGCATTGAGAACAGGTCCAATCAGAGCATAACACTTGTCCCACAAAAACGCAAGTACTGTCCCACAAACTCAAGTACGTAAGATGATTGTCGTTTAGTCGGACCATAATATCCAAGGGCGGTGCTTAACGGAATGGTCCATAACCGACAACGAGCACACTAGACACAATCGAGTCACGCGCTACGTACATGATACAGACCTGAGAATAATTATATTTTCAATATAGATGAACTAATGCGGGCTCGGAATGAATTATTAGATCAGTTTGTGAGAGACCCACTTTAATATTTAATTATTTGGATATCCCTCATTATACTATTCTTCGCAAAAAAGACAATATTAGTATAAAAATGAATTAATAACTCTAATAAATATAATTATAACATTGAATATACATAGGCCTATCACTTGAAAATAAAACATAAAACGGGTACTCAACTGTTGTTAACCCAGGCAGCGTCTGGGGCTATAGTACTGCCACCGCATTTTGATAACTCAGAATGAACTGGGGGCTATCAGGTACTGCCAACCAGAACCCGAAAACAGGTAAACTATTGAATTAAACAAGGTGGTTATTAGTAGTTTGTTCCAATAATATAGGTCTTTTATAAATATTGATCTTTTACTGTTGGATGGGATGTAATTTTTCAATTGGGGATGGGAGTTCTTGAAGATGATATTTGAGCATGAAGCACGTAAAGTGTACTTTTAGATCGTATATACTTAACATATTTAAACTCTTTAACAGTGGTTTTGAAGCCGTTTTAAGTGATGAATTTGAGATCATCCTAGCAATTCGTTTTTGTAATATATATAGTTATGCTCTGTTAGTAGGATATTCACACAATGATAATAATAATGGTTATTAGGTAAGTAGTAAGTAAGTAGGCCCAGTAAGTACTGTAGCAGTACGTGTACTTACATTATAATATATATATATATATATATATATATATATATATATTGTGTATATATATAATATATTGTGTATAGACAAAATACGAACTTCATAATTCATATTGAATAATTCGTTACGCTATTTTGATTATCCTCAAACCTACATCTTTTGGTGCATGCGCAGAAGTGTATATATGCAGTATTATGAGCCCTCTTTTATTTTCCATTAGAATGCCGTTATTAAGATAACGATTAGAAGAAGTCGATGTTCCAAGATGATGTTTAATAACGAGAATTCTTTATTACTGCAGAAGGAACACGTAGACAGGTTCAATATAGTGATTACTATGTATGCCAGAATTACAGTAGGCTATAGGTCCTATTTAATTCGAGGCTTATCAAAAATTGTCTGTTAAATACGGTAGACAATCATCTGACGATCTGTCCTAGGATGTACTGCCATTCCAAAGATATTTCGTTTTAAAACTCTGAGAATATTGATTTTCGTTTTTTTCGCATGCGCTCATAAGCAATGTACTTTTACATTTCTTCTCTCCACCAATTCTTCAACGGGGGGAGGCGACTGGAGGGGTTTGAGCTTTTTTTTGTGGGGGGCGGGGAGATGAGGGTGAAAGTGGCGTGCGCCACTGCTCCCCACCTCCAGGAGTATAAATGGATACCTGATATGATTTCCAGCGACTGCGCCGATGCGGCAGCCATCCAACGATCACGGGTAAAAATCGGAATGAAAGGCGCTCTTATATAAATGCTCATGTATTATTAACACAGAACACAGCCTCTATTCCTTCCGCTGTTTTTCCAGCCTTCTATGCTTTCTGTGTGTTACGTAGCTGGAGTACAATAACATTGTGAATGTGATCATTTGAACATTTTTATCTGGACCCAAATGATTTCATAACCATGTCCAGAAGATTTTTTTTTTTTTTTTTTAGAATGAAGAATGAAATAATGTCACTGCAGTTCAGTTCAACTAATTAAAGCCTAAGAAAAAATTCTTATAGGTTTATATTTCAATTACCAGTACTGGTTGAAATTATAAATAAACGGATGTAAATTTGGCAAAAATCATTGTGAGAGACATTGTGAAGATCCACATTTTAACCACATTTACTTTTTTATTATACAGTGTACACTCCAATTCGAGATCCCTCTAATTCTGAAACCCTTCTAATTTCGAGATCCCTCTAATTCTGAGACCATTTATTCAAAGAATCAAATAACAACATTCAATCTTTTCAAGTTTTTTTACAAGTCTATCCCTCTGAGACCACTCTCAATTTTCCGGCCCCAAAGGTGGTCTTGAATTGGATGGCGAACAGTGTCTTTGGTTAACATCGCTTATTAGCAATAAACCTATAGCTTTTTACTACCATCGTATCCCACAAGTATTAACACATACAGTGTACAGCAAATAAATAATAATAATAATAATAATAGATGGATTTATATAGCGCAAATAAACGAGGTCTCTATGCGCTAGACAATAATGAAGTCAAGAACACAAAGAAAAAAGCCGGCTTAGGTGTAGCTTTAACTTAACGTATTTTTCATAAATCATATACTGTACTATTTTGATCTTGTAAACAACTCTCGACAACGAAGATAGGCTTAATTTTAGAAAGCTTTGCCAAAAGTAATTAGTTTCTATCAAACATGAACGACAGAATGATATATAATCGTTCAAAATGGCGTTGAATGGCGTATTATCTTCCAATCACGCTAATGCATTGTCTGCTATCCACAAATTAGTCAGAAATCGTGTCATCAATTAGAGTCCGTATTCACTTATTCTTGTATCTGTTTGGTCACGTGATGATTGGAAGAATACTTGTAGACACTATAGGCCCTGTCTCTTATACACATCTAGATGTGTATAAGAGACAGGTGTGTGTGTGTAGAGACAATTCTAAAGTAATATAACGATTTATTGAATATATTTCTGTTCCTAATCAAGTCTCGGTACTATCGACTAGAGACACCGAAATAGTACATGCTACATCATCAGATAGATGTATCGAATATGTTTATCCACAAGGCATATATCATTATGGGATGTTGTTAATCCAACAGCTTTTTATTATTAAATAGAAGATGGTTTTATTGCACTGTAGCGTGTCAAAATTTAATTCATAATTCATAAATCATAGGGCTTCGAGTCTTCGAGTAAGAACGAATAGATATATGGGTGTGTTTCCGTATGTTTCCGAATAACATTATGTCCATATTTGCATAGAATAGATAGTCAGTCGTCGATGTGTCTATCGGCTTCAACTTGGAGGTAATTCCCACGAGTAACGTTGGCGGCCGTGTATTGCTCTTAATGTCATTCTCTGCTCACGTTACATCATATAACTTGTACTTATTAGACTATTAAACCTATAAAAAATGGGGTTTTAGCATTATGTCTTTTTTTATATTTTGAGTGACTTTGCAATCGTATTATGCCAACATGAATCTGTTATGAATAAAACAGCCCCGTAAATACTCACAAGGGATCTAAAACTGAGATTTGGGTGAAAATTATTCAGTATTCTGACTCTAATATTAATATTGATTGTCAGTCCGTCATGGCTGACAGTGAATGACTTCTATGGCGATGGTGATGTTAAGCCGAGCATGCCACTGAGCTCGACGGTAATGGTAATTAAGCTATACATTAGTACGCAATTCTTTATTCTCTTTTTTCTTCGTTTTATTGATGAGGTAGCGTAGTGTATAATTGTCTTTATAACCGTTTTTCCTCTTAAAATCATTTGCATATTCATTTGTATGCTTTTCCTATTTTTTCGCTTGTGTAGATAGTGGTTATATTGATGAAGATGGATTAGACTTGTTCTTCAAAGACTTACTGTGCACAATGACTGATGACAGGGTGAGTGTAAAAACTTAATTATCCAATTAATTTACAATTTTTGAGAAAATTTATGTCTGCGTCTGCTTTTTTCAACTTCTTGCTGAGTTTATCAAACAGCCTGAGGTCTTGCTTTGTGACCGCTGGTCTGTGTAAACTCATGTACAATACAGCCAAACTTCCGATCAGAAAGTAGTATAAAGACGAATTTAAGACATTTAATAGAACCAGACATGTTTCTTCGTATTCAATACGACATCTTCAGTGTAACAAAACAAAAAACCGAATTCAGATATCCTGAGGTTTATATACCTTTGCCTATAACTTATGCACATTAGAGTCAATTCATTCTAAATTAATTTAATATTAATTACATTTCCAATTATTGCCAGCACATTAAATCACCTCATTTTCTTTAAGCGTTTGGCATCGCCAGCCAAACCTATTCTACGGTGTTTTCAATCTTCATAACCTAAAGTTCTGTCTAGATAACCATATAGGCCTATAGTTTTTTTTTTGTCAAGGACAATTTAATAATTAGGAGAGGCCAACACTTGCTTAACATCCTTGTAGCTGAAGATCTTAGCTCGTGTTTATTCCTAATCACCTTCGTAATGAATGCAATGTCCAACGTTAAGATTATTTTCATTACGTGTATTCTCAATTATAAGTGAGATTCATAATCGTGTTGAACAGCTAAATGCCTGATATTTACATCCGTTTTTTATCCGGAATTTAGCATGTCACGGATGAGATGGTAAGCGATATGAAATCGTGCTTCATGGAGGCTTATGATGATGCTGGTGACGGAAAGATTGCCATTTCAGAGGTAGAAATACACCTATCATTTCATATTATTTCATATTTAGTAATCTAAATGTACTGATATACACATACCCACATAATAATATAATCATGTAGGCCTATACAGTATATCTACACTTGTATATAGTAAAAATGCATCGATATATCAAATCAAACGCCTGCATAAGCCTTAATTTATATTAT